GTACTATAGGGTACAGGCTGTGAACTCTGACATTAATGGTTTTTACACTAAAACAATTAGCTTTTCAGACAGTTGTGGGCAGCATAAGGTTTCACGGTGATGGCTATTGCAAAGTATGGCTTTTAACCAATTACACAAAAAACTAGGATTCACTTAGCATAGTAATACTAATGCTAGTATTTTGAGAACTTACGAAGACAAGTCCCAGTTCAGTCCGTTACGGAATGTCTTGTGTTCACAGTACCAAGGCTCCTACAGGATGAGGATCTACGAGAGAGAAGGCTTCGGAGGCCAGATGATGGAGTTCATGGACGACATTCCCAATGTCTACGACCGCTTCCGATACCATGACATCCACTCCTGCAATGTGATGGAGGGATACTGGATGTTCTATGAGCAGCCCAACTACAGAGGCAGGCAGTACTTCATGAGGCCCGGAGAGTACAGGAGGTTCAGCGACTGGGGAGGCATGAACCCCAGGATCGGCTCCTTCCGGCGCCTCATGGACTTCTGTTAAATAAAGAGCAATTCTTTCTTATTTGTGAGAACACAATAATAATAAAAAAAAAATCTCATACATCTGTCTTTGGGTCTTTTCTTCAAAAGGAGTGCACATGGTGCTTTAGACAGTAACCTAGAAGTGAAGACGTAGCTGGTCAGTAGTTGTAGCAGAGAAGAGTCCAGTCTGGGCTCAAGTAGGAAGGACATTAGACTGTTTTTCTATCCGTCTGCCAGATAAAGCACACCACGGGAGGTGTTAAGGCTGGTTCTCCACAGGTTCTGCAATTTCCTTGAACTTGGTGAGCAAGCAGTAAACCCTGAGCTCTGAGACCGTTGATTGCATCAGTTATTTACACAGAATTAGAAAGCAGTCACTTGGTCTTTTGAAACATGAAATTCTGTGAACAAGTTAAATGACCAATGTTTGAATTCAAGTGATAGAAATCAGACAGTGTGTCAATTTAGTTAAGACTTGTTAGGTTTTACAGCTGATTTAATGAAAAGGTAAAGAAAAAGCCACCACAGTGTAAAACTCAGGCCTGGCTGGTAAACGTTATAAATTGGCTATGTCACTTGTATTGATAATTGAAGTGGCACTTTACGCTTTTGACATTGTTACTGTAGAGATCTTTGAGATGATGATGATAATAATAATAATAAGAATAATAATAATAATTGCTTATACTTATATAGCGCTTTTCTGGACACTCCACTCAAAGTTCTTTACAGGTAATGGGGATCCCCTCCACCACCACCAGTGTGCAGCCCCACCTGGATG